AGTACTTTCATTTATTTTTAATGCTATGTAGTATTCTCTTGTCTTTTGTTTATAAACGTTTTACTTATGGACATTTGGGTGGTTTTCATTTAAGGTATTATGATTAATTCTGCTATATACATTCTCATACAAGTACTTTAATTTGGGAGAAGGGATGCCAAATTATATACAGAGCATAAATTTGTCTTTTGTTGAACTCTTTCCCCTACTGACTGTACCAGTCGATATATCCTACGATCACATAGGAATGTTCCACTTACTCTACATCTTCACTAGTAATTTTTACTATCTTATGATCTATTTTTTTATTGTGACTTGATCAGTGGGTATGAAGTGATTATTTCATCCTGACCAGTGACTGATCATGTTGATTATGTCCTTGGAATCTGTTGAGTTGGACTTTGGCGAATAACTCATTTTATTGGTCCTCAAGACTTAAGTGTATGTATGTATGAGTGTGCATTTTTCCTGAGAATGGCAGAGAACACACAACAGGAGATGGAAAAGATTTTGAGGAGTTGAGGAAAAAAGTGAAATGAAAAGGATGTTGAGGCAAAGAAATAAGAATAAAATGAACATATGATTATAGAAAAGGAAGGAGAAAGGAGAGTTCTTAAAAAGAATAAGTTGTCTTGCATTGAAAGCACAGTCATATCTTTGTAAATGTATCAGTAGGAATGAGAAAGACCTGAGCACAACAACTAATAACGATTTGAACATTCTCTGTAGAGAGTAAAGAAGGTGTGCACCGAGGTCATTGGTTCACATGAGAACGTGCTCATGGACGGAGAATACTWTTGAATTATTATATTTGTCTCATCTCTGCAAAGCAGAACCCTGTCATCCATGAGTAGGTTCTTTTTCCTTTCTGGCACACTTTCCTGTGTGCAGCCCACTCGCAGTCACCCCTTCCCACCTCTCCTGTCCTCTTCATCTCAAATCCCCATATGCCATCTTGAGGGGTGGTTCTTTTTTCCTTCTTTTTTCTGAGAACGTATCTTCATTACAATGTGTCCTGGAACACCATAAGCTGTTTTCCCTGTGTGTACGAATATCCACACAATTGAGAACTGTTTCTTCAGTTTTGGCTTTAGGTGATGATCCGTTTGACAGTGGCTGTAAAGAATCCAAAACTGAGTTTTCATCTTAAACTATTTATTTAATATGCCCCCACCCCCGTGCACCAATCTCAAAGGGGGACAAACAGATTTTTTTCCCAAAAATGTAATAAAATGAAATGTATGTTCACATTCGGAGGACTTTCTTATAAAATGCAAAAAGGAGAACACATATTTCTCAGTATTTAATTCTGTTATCACAAAATTAATGTGTGTATGTATGTATTGTGAAGATTGAGTATTGTGGCTGTCATTTTAATAAAGAGACTGTTTGAAATGATCTTGGCCACAAACTTAACTCTATACATTTTGCCGTTCTCAATATTGTTTAGAAACTCTTATTTTGAAATTCCCATCAGTGCCGGTTTATGAACCAAACAAAAGAACTGATCTCATTACTTTATTGTCACACTTCATATATAAGATGCTAAGGCATTATGCCTTAGTAATTGAGATTATAAATAAATTGAGATTCCTATCTCATATATTGCCTGTTGCTTGGTTTAGCCTGGTTTGAGATATGAGTAGCATGTTTTCCTTTCATTTCATCTCATAAGAAAAGCAATATATTTAAAACAAAGAATGTACTGATTACGGCAGTTCCTTCCTCTTGAGTCCATTACTCTGTTTCACAGAATTTACTACTAAGCACCCCCTCTTTTTGCCATAGATGATGAAAAACTCTCTAAGAGGCTGTGTGGTGAATCAGCTTTCTTTGCAATGATAGTTACTTGTGTAAATTATGTTATGGGTGGGATTAATTTAAAAGGTATTTTGAGTTCCATTCATTCCATTATCTGATTGGAATATCAAACAGAATGAACTGAGAAATACAAAAGTGTGAATATGGCTGTTGGGGAATGCAAGCTTGTTCAAGTGAAAGCAAGGAGTCTACCCCACAATAATCAACATTTTCAGGAACAATAGTTGCTAAAATGCAGTGGAGATGTGAATATTCAGTAGCTTGGTCCCACTTATTTTGTTGATTGTTTAATAACTGGCTTCTAGAGGAACAGAATCCTCCCCAGAGGATGAGAGGAAAAATTGCTGAAACATAGAAGGAAGCACATTTATTCATTAATTTATCTTAACAGTCCTGGAAGGTGATTATTTTTATTTTTAAAACATCCGGTCTTACATCTTAAATTGAAGTTCTGAATGTTTAAGAACGTATTAAAAGTATCTGTGCCTTTCTTTATGACCATTGTAAAAGAAAGAGTCAAGATAAGTACAGAGTCCAGAGCCCAGCCACATAGTAGATATTTTACTGGAAAAAGGGTGTCTTTGGTAGGATTTAGGTTTAGCTGAAGTAGTGGATTAATTAAGATAGTGGTTTACTTTGTTGACATTTACATGAGGTCTGGAGGCACACATGGCAGGGTGGATATGGTGGCTCCACAGAGTTTGTCTAGCTCTTTGTTTGGCTGGTCTGTTAGCTTGGGGTTGAGTGATCTTGATATCTGGTTAGGAAAGTTTTTCTCAGAGTTGAAATATGTACCATTTAAAATGACTGTGAATATATTTTAGTTAATAAATAAAAATACAACCTTACTCCAACAATATATCTCCAGGTCATGGCTAGTCTCCCTAGACTGAGGCAGCCACGCTCTGAGATGGTAGATTATTACCCTATATACATGTATGATTACACTACTGGTATGACTACACCATGCTCAGCCAGAGGAATGAGAAGTTGTGCTCCATTTGTGTATAACATGTCATAATGCATTCTACTGTCATGTACAACTAATTAGAACAAATTTAAAACATTTAAAAAATTAAATGGGTTTGTTTGGATTTTTTTTTTTTTTTTTTTTGGTGGTGGTTCTGGGGATTGAACCCAGGGTTTTGTGTATACTAGGCAAGTGCCCAGCCCCTGAACTGCACCCCCAGCCCTAGAACTAGAGATCCTATATGTCATTCCACATTAAGATTTAATAAGTAAATCTTCAAAAGAGTAAGAAAGAGGATAAAAGCAAACTTAAGAAAACAAAAAGCAAGAAACAGACGAACAGACGAACAAAAAATGAAAATAAAAAGAAACATTTTGCAGTGACCCTAGTTTAGTTTATTTTTTTAATTTGTCAAAATAGTCCAATGGAATAAATTAAATATACATCCTGTGAAATGCAACTTACTTACTATTAGTTTTATACAAGCTCTTAGGAGCTCACAAACATTTGAGGTCTAAATATTCTTTTTAGCCTCCCTTTTCTCTAGTCAGTGTCAAAACTACCCTGAAAATCCTATGTCAGAGAAAGAGTAAGGGGAAAATTAATTGGTTATTTTTTTAACCCTCTGTCCCACCAACACTTTTTTTTTTTCCCTATTCCAAATGATGTGAAATGACTGTTTTCAGGAAAGTTGTTCACTGCCCTGCTGTGGCAACATCTCAACTCTTTAAATGCTTAGCAGAGCCTAAAGTTTTGCTTTGTTCAGTATGTTAGCCTTTTGATTTCTCTTTCCCTTTTGGATTTTCTGCTTTCTGTAAACCTTCAAATTGTCTAAAAGAGAAAATTACAGAGTTCCATATAGCACCATTTTTCAGAAATACCTTGGAAAGACAGACCATGGGTTAGTTTTTATTTGTGTTGCACACAATTGACTTGTATATACTCACGTATATAAATAAAGCATATTTAGCTCTTGAGGTTTATGTGGAGTTTTGATGAGTATAATTTAGGTTTGGATGCTTGAGGACTTTCTCTAAATTACTTCTGTCTGCATTAGAATAATAATGTTTATCCCAATTTTACACATATTCTTTCTTCTAATTTTGGGTGTTCTATGTTAAGTCTCTGGATGCTTTTTGGGGAAGAGTGATGCAAAGGAGTTTAACTTTGCTTTATAAAAGTCAAAGTTTCTATTGATAGAAAATGACCTCAAGGCAGTTGAGTCCCAAACTTGATATATTAAAGAAACAAAGTCAGAATTTCTGATAATTGAGTTGTTAGTAAAAGGCACCAATTCTTGACTATATTGTCTTTCAAAATAAGATAATTTCAGGTGTTGAATCCATGGGGTTTTACATCTGTTCATGCTTTGAGGTCAGTGGTCTTCAATAATAAGGCTTTAGAATTAGATTAACTTGATTTAACAAAAAAGGAGAATTGTTTATTTGTTTTGTTTTGTTTTAGTTATAGATGGACACAATATATTTATTTATTTTTATGTGGTGCTGAGGATCGAACCCAGTGCCTCACACGTGCAAGGTGGGCACTCTACCACTGAGCCCCAGCCCCAGCCCAGAACTTGTTTATTTTAAAATACTTAATAGATCCACAGGAAAATGTAAAAATAGTGCAGAGGGTTTCTTTGCACCTTTCATCTGGTTGCCCCCAGTGCTTAAATTGTATGTAATTATAGTACAACTTCAAAACCAGGAAGTTGACAGTAGTGCAATACTTGTGTACAGGTGAATATGATTGTTCAAGAATGAGGAATTACTGTCTATGTTGATGCATGCTACCCAATTTCTATTGAAAAAATTGCAGTTACACAAATTACACTCCTAGGAACAGTCCATGATATTGGTCATCGTTTTCTGTTACAGTAAATGGATGTAAATTGTATTATTCTGGTCCTCAGCCAAATCATGTTATAGTAGGTAAGCTGTTTTTCTTCTCCTCACACTGTGGCATAACAGCCAGCTCTGTCAAGGGCTGATGTGGTCTGGCTTTGGGCATCCTTCCAGCAGGTCCATGAAGGGCTTCGTTTGGCTCCTGTGGGCATCCATCTTCTGTCAGTTTCTCCTGAAGTGCCTGATCGGGAATTGGTCATCAAGCACAAGTTTGAAGCAACTACTAAGTGGAATTAGCACCAGTTGCCAGGTCCTTGCATATTGAAGAAAGGTTCTTCCCTATCCATCCCTACTAGACATAGCTTGGTTTAAAGGTTAAGTATGGATGAGACCCCCTAGAAATCGATCTCTGACTGACTGTGGCAGGGATCAGGTTTCCTGTTTGGGTAAAGGACATATCACAATATCTTTTGGAGTTTGTTTTCCTTGTGATGGGTATCTATTGCTTTTGCCAGTCTGTGTATTCACTGTATTTTCAGTGTTCTCTTCTTTCAGTAAGATATCACCTACTTAAGTGATAGCTAATGGGAAATTAGAGTCCCCTGTTTAAAGAGGGTGAGAATAATTTTAGACAACCATGTAGTCATGAAACTGCATACAAGGGAAAGACTATACAAGAAAGTGGTCTAGAGGGAAAACTTTTATAAACCTTTAAATATTACCAATATTTTAAAATAAAAATGGTTATTAGACACGTGTGAGCAAATATATATAAATAGGCAAGTTTATCAAAATTTCAGGTATGAGGTTTTGGAATTTTAGTTTTGTTTGAATATTTGGTTTTGGATTATTTATGCCTAAGATTAATTATTTTGGTACACTTGAGCCCATCATTTATAGATATAGTGTGTTTTAAAATCAGACCCGTCAAGTTCCTTGTAATTAATGTTATAAGCTTCACTCAAATTTAGCTTCTGAAATATCAATCTCTACTTCAATGAATCATGCAGATTTATAGTCCACTGGACCAAATCATTACAGTTCCATTGACTGTACATAGAGGAGACTGTGGTCTCAAATGTTTATTAACCATAGTTCCTCCCCTCCTTCTTTTCCCTTTTGCTACTTTAATAAAATGGTGTTTTAAAGGATACCTTTGTTTGGAAGATCTATCCAGTGGTGAGAGAGGTGTGTTAAAGTCACCCAAGATGATTGTGTTGTGGTCAATTTGACTCGAAATTGCAAAGAGTTTATTTGATGAACATAGCTGCACCATTGTTTTGGGCATATATATTTATGATTGTTATGTCTTGTTGGTGTATGGTTCCCTTGAGCAGTATGTAGTGTCTATCTTTATCCTTTTTGATTAATCTTGGCTTGAAGTCTATTTTATTTGATATGAGGATGGCAATCCCTGCTTGCTTCCACAGTCCATGTGAATGGTATGATTTTTCCCAACCTTTCGCCTTCAGTCTGTGTATATCTTTTCCTATCAGATGAGTCTCCTGGAGGCAGCATATTGTTGGGTCTTTTTTTTTTTTTAATTCCATCTGCTAGACCATGACTTTTGATTGGTGAGTTTAAGCCATTAACATTTAGGGTTACTATTGAGACATAGTTTGTATTTCTAGCCATATTTGTTTATTTTTGTTATTTTACTTGAATTGATAAATGGATGGCAGTGGAGAAGATAATGCTAAGTGAAGTTAGCCAATCCCCCCCCAAAAAAATGCTGAATGTTTTCTCTGATATAAGGAGGCTGACTCATAGTGGGTAGGGAGGGGGAACATGGGACGAATAGATGAATTCTAGATAGGGAAGAGTGGAGGGAGGGTAAGGGAGGAGGCAGGGAATTAGCAAGGGCAGTGAAATGTGATGGACATCATTATCCCAAGGACATGTATGAAGACACAAATTAGGTGTCAACCTACTTTATATACAAACAGAGATATGAAAAATTGTGGTATATTTGTGCAATAAGAATTGTAATGCCAAAAAAAAACACAAGTACATGTAAAAAAAAAAAAAAGAAATCAGAAAAATGTGAAAGAATAAATAAAATAAAATGATTGGTTTTTTTAAAAAAAGGATACCTTATATTGGTTCATCCAAGTTAGATGAAAAGATTTTTTCTGAGATCTGAAAAGAATGGATGAGAAAATTCTAGTTTTCATATATTCAGAATTAACATGCTGAACCAATTAATAGATGTGTTCTGCCAGAGAAACACTTGTTTTGGATTAAACCCTTATACCAGGAAGAGAGAGTCATGGATCAGGATAGAGCAAGTGTCTAGGCAAGAAAAAGAAATTAATTTTTTATTTGAATTTTGCAGAATTGTGGGCTTGGTTTACTCCTCATCAGTTTATTTCACTGTTCAGTATTCACCTGCTAGAAGATGGTACCAAGGTCACAATCTTATCCTCATCCTGGTTTTCCCAGAATCTTCTAAGTTTTAGCACTCAAAAGTCCCAGTATTAGACATATTGTACTGATTGGTCACCTTTGAGAACAGTCTTGCCACGTGCATGAAAATCTCTTGACTCTAAACTTTACACTAGAAAATGTTCAGAATGCTTTTTGCTAAATTAAGTTTAGAATAAGAAATATGTTAAAATAAGAGTCTGAAATTGGGTCCTGATATCAGCAGGGTTTGTAAAGGTAATGTTTAGACTTGCATGCATAGGATTTTTTAAATTTTGGTTTGAGGACTTAAATGCCTGATGAATAGAGCACTGTACTAGATGTGCAAGGGAAACTCAGCTGAGTTAAGACAGTAACCACTGGTGTTCTTCATTTAAACATTAAGTTCCTTTGAACATGGTCTGGTATCTGGAAATATAGCAACACATGATGATATGTCAGTAAACAAATGAAATTGCCTGCAAAGAAAATGGAAAGATTAGATTAAACAAGTCTATGAAAGTCATTAGGACAATGAAATTGTCTGGTGAGAAATCATAATAGATCAGGGCCACTGGCCAACAGGGGATCTTTATGAGAAATAGGAAAAGCCGCGGGCACCAGGCATGGTGGAGTGTGATGTTTCAGTTGAGGGCACCATTTGCTTTTTGGGATGAATTAGGGAAAGGCCCTTCTTCACAGGCAGTCTCAACCTGTGCCCCCTCATGCAGGTGTTGAACAGAGCCCAGGCTGGTTTTCAGCCCTGATAGGCCACCTCAGTGGCCCCTCCTCAGCCTGCTCCCTTGTGCACTCACAAGAGGCACAACACCTTTGAACAGAATTAAAAGAATGCAGTGAATGAGAGCATGGAAAGCCAAATGGAAGTTTTGTCTTCTGGGGAAATATTTTGTTCTTTTCCCTTCTCTTTCCAGGAAGGAGAGAGCCCACAGACCTTGAGAGGAATGGAAGCCTTTTCTGTACTTAGCCAATTCTTTTCTCGAGTTCCTTATTTTTTTTGTGATCACGAAGGACAGGCCATAGCATTTGAGCATTTTCTGCTGAATGGTCACTCTTCTAATCATGGCCACTTTGGTTGCTGTTTTGTGTCAGGTGCTGTCTTGAGCCATTTGCATACATCATCTCATTGAGATCCTTTCTAGAACCTTATAAAGTGCAAATTCTGACCATTTTCCAGAGAAGGCTCCGGACGGAGATCTCTTGCCTGCTCCACAAGTTTGCAGCTGAGTGCGTCAGGATTCAGACCCAGGTCCCTGTGACTCTAAGGTCTGTGGTGCTTTCACCACACCCAGCTGTCCTGGCAATATCTAGAGTGCTGGCTTTTGAGAGCACAGCATGAGGGACCCTTTGAAAACCCTTTGACAACCACGGCATCAGACACAGCGATACAGAAAACTTAGCTTACTACAGTTTTATAAAATTATGTTCCAGATGTTTTCTTTTTTGAACTATAAATGAATATAGTTAAATATGTAAATAATTAATATGTCTGAGGCTGGAATTTCTAGTTTCTTGGACAACTTTTGTGCTTAGATTTTGTATATTATGTTTACTTTTTTATATTTTTAAGTTAGATTCTCAAGTCTAGCAGGAAACTAGAAAGGAAACTTACCTTTAAAAACTAATCATGTAGATTATGAAGTTTGAACTTCCATAATACTGATACATATTTTACGTAAGCAATAAACCCCTGACAGTATGAATAATGATCGTTTCTATACTGTGTATTCTCTGTGTTAAGAATCACTATGATTCTTATTTTTACTCTGAAATCTTAGTTATAGATTTCTCCTCAGGAGCTTTCAATGTGAATGAGAACTGGAATTTAAAAATAAAACCTGACTAGAGTTGAAGTCTCACAATTTTCACTTCCTCCCCCCCCCTTAATGTATTTGCCTTTGATGGAAAAAATAGAGTTCTGAGTGAAATAAAACTTGAATCCCTTCAAGGTAGGAGGTGCACTAGGATTTCAGTGACTTGAGAAGCTGAGGCAGGTGGATTACAAGTCCAAGGCCTGCCTGGGCAATTTAGTAAGACATTTTTTTAAGATAAAAGATAAAAAGGGCTGAGGATATAGTGCAGTAGTAAAACACCCCTGGGTTCAGTCCCTAGAATAATAATAATAAATTTAAAAGGCTTGATTCTTGTAAGAAAGTGAATTTTACAGGTGTGTGTCAAGCTTGTGCAAGGCATGATTGGATTCCCCGCCCCACTTTTCAGTCCCTGAGGCTCTGACAGTCAGTCCTCCTCTCTCAAGTCGGAGGGTGTTAGCAGTGGCCGTGGAAATTTGCTGGTCTCTGAGTGAGTTTCTTTAGACCAAGAAGAGATTTCTTTTCTCCCACATTGATTACTTCCTGTGAGTGCTGCTGGGTTATAACACAGCTACTCCGCTGTGGGCTCTGAGCGCAGTGCAGTGAGGTCATCTATTTCTGGAGGAGCCTTGGTCTGCAGCAAGCCCAGGCTGCCAAATGTTCTGCCTGGCCCCAGAGTGAACTCAGTGTGTGAAGCCTCTGTTTGCTGTCAGCTACCACAAAGTGGCTTCAGAGTCTGTGGGTGAGGATGTTGGGGATGGGGAGGGAACTGGAGGGCCCCAACAGAAAGCTGGATTGGAGAAAGTGGCTTGGTGAAAGATTGAAATGAGGCTGCCTTCCCTCTCTGCCCTAAATCTAAGCTGCCTGGATCCATAACACAGACCCAAGTCTAAGTTCAAGCATAAAAGTAGAATAGAGAGAGACCCGTAGGCCGGCCTGGCCTGCATTCCACACAGGTACAGCAAGTGGAAGAGAGACCAGTGCTGGCCAGTAACACAGAGGACTTCTCCTGTCGGCATCCATGGCCAGTTGGTGTT